ACCCCCCCCCCCCCCCCCCCCCCCCCCCCCCCCCCCCCCCCCCCCCACCCCCCCCCCCCCCCCCCCCCCCCCCCCCCCCCCCCCCCCCCCCCCCCCCCCCCCCCCCCACCCCCCCCCCCCCCCACCCCCCCCCACCCCCCCCCCCCCCCCCCCCCCCCCCCCCCCCCCCCCCCCCCCCCCCCCCCCCCCCCCCCCCCCCCCCCCCCCCCCCCCCCCCCCCCCCCCCCCCCCCCCCCCCCCACCCCCCCCCCCCCCCCCCCCCCCCCCCCCCCCCCCCCCCCCCCCCCCCCCCCCCCCCCCCCCCCCCCCCCCCCCCCCCCCCCCCCCCCCCCCCCCCCCCCCACCCCCCCCCCCCCCCCCCCCCCCCCCCCCCCCCCCCCCCCCCCCCCCCCCCACCCCCCCCCCCCCCCCCCCCCCCCCCCCCCCCCCCCCCCCCCCCCCCCCCCCCCCCCCCCCCCCCCCCCCCCCCCCCCCCCCCCCCCCCCCCACCCCCCCCCCCCCCCCCCCCCCCCCCCCCCCCCCCCCCCCCCCCCCCCCCCCACCCCCCCCCCCCCCCCCCCCCCCCCCCCCCCCCCCCCCCCCCCCCCCCCCCCCCCCCCCCCCCCCCCCCCCCCCCCCCCCCCCCCCCCCCCCCACCCCCCCCCCCCCCCCCCCCCCCCCCCACCCCCCCCCCCCCCCCCCCCCCCCCCCCCCCCCCCCCCCCCCCCCCCCCCCCCCCCCCCCCCCCCCCCCCCCCCCCCCCCCCCCCCCCCCCCCCCCCCCCCCCCCCCCCCCCCCCCCCCCCCCCCCCCCCCCCCCCCCCCCCCCCCCCCCCCCCCCCCCCCCCCCCCCCCCCCCCCCCCCCCCCCCCCCCCCCCCCCCCACCCCCCCCCACCCCCCCCCCCCCCCCCCCCCCCCCCCCCCCCCCCCCCCCCCCCCCCCCCCCCCCCCCCCCCCCCCCCCCCCCCCCCCCCCCCCCCCCCCCCCCCCCCCCCCCCCCCCCCCCCCCCCCCCCACCCCCCCCCCCCCCCCCCCCCCCCACCCCCCCCCCCCCCCCCCCCCCCCCCCCCCCCCCCCCCCCCCCCCCCCCCCCCCCCCCCCCCCCCCCCCCCCCCCCCCCCCCCCCCCCCCCCCCCCCCCCCCCCCCCCCCCCCCCCCCCCCCCCCCCCCCCCCCCCCCCCCCCCCCCCCCCCCCCCCCCCCCCCCCCCCCCCCCCCCCCCCCCCCCACCCCCCCCCCCCCCCCCCCCCCCCCCCCCCCCCCCCCCCCCCCCCCCCCCCCCCCCACCCCCCCCCCCCCCCCCCACCCCCCCCCCCCCCCCCCCCCCCCCCCCCCCCCCCCCCCCCCCCCCCCCCCCCCCCCCCCCCCCCCCCCCCCCCCCCCCCCCCCCCCCCCCCCCCCCCCCCCCCCCCCCCCCCCCCCCCCCCCCCCCCCCCCCCCCCCCCCCCCCCCCCCCCCCCCCCCCCCCCCCCCCCCCCCCCCCCCCCCCCCCCCCCCCCCCCCCCCCCCCCCCCCCCCCCCCCCCCCCCCCCCCCCCCCCCCCCCCCCCCCCCCCCCCCCCCCCCCCCCCCCCCCCCCCCCCCCCCCCCCCCCCCCCCCCCCCCCCCCCCCCCCCCCCCCCCCCCCCCCCCCCCCCCCCCCCCCCCCCCCCCCCCCCCCCCCCCCCCCCCCCCCCCCCCCCCCCCCCCCCCCCCCCCCCCCCCCCCCCCCCCCCCCCCCCCCCCCCCCCCCCCCCCCCCCCCCCCCCCCCCCCCCCCCCCCCCCCCCCCCCACCCCCCCCCCCCCCCCCCCCCCCCCCCCCCCCCCCCCCCCCCCCCCCCCCCCCCCCCCCCCCCCCCCCCCCCCCCCCCCCCCCCCCCCCCCCCCCCCCCCCCCCCCCCCCCCCCCCCCCCCCCCCCCCCCCCCCCCCCCCCCCCCCCCCCCCCCCCCCCCCCCCCCCCCCCCCCCCCCCCCCCCCCCCCCCCCCCCCCCCCCCCCCCCCCCCCCCCCCCCCCCCCCCCCCCCCCCCCCCCCCCCCCCCCCCCCCCCCCCCCCCCCCCCCCCCCCCCCCCCCCCCCCCCCCCCCCCCCCCCCCCCCCCCCCCCCCCCCCCCCCCCCCCCCCCCCCCCCCCCCCCCCCCCCCCCCCCCCCCCCCCCCCCCCCCCCCCCCCCCCCCCCCCCCCCCCCCCCCCCCCCCCCCCCCCCCCCCCCCCCCCCCCCCCCCCCCCCCACCCCCCCCCCCCCCCCCCCCCCCCCCCCCCCCCCCCCCCCCCCCCCCCCCCCCCCCCCCCCCCCCCCCCCCCCCCCCCCCCCCCCCCCCCCCCCCCCCCCCCCCCCCCCCCCCCCCCCCCCCCCCCCCCCCCCCCCCCCCCCCCCCCCCCCCCCCCCCCCCCCCCCCCCCCCCCCCCCCCCCCCCCCCCCCCCCCCCCCCCCCCCCCCCCCCCCCCCCCCCCCCCCCCCCCCCCCCCCCCCCCCCCCCCCCCCCCCCCCCCCCCCCCCCCCCCCCCCCCCCCCCCCCCCCCCCCCCCCCACCCCCCCCCCCC